TGTATATATAGAGCAGGCAGACACAGAGGAACAAAAATGACACAAATCTGAAAATCTACCCACACTGGTACTATTATGAATTCAATAGGGTCAAATAACAACAAATATTGAGTAATGCACCCGAGATTGTACATAATAATGTCAATACAGTTCAGAACATTCTTCAACACCACTACCCTAACATTTAACTGGCAGCTATTTCATCATCTTTTTCTTTAATGTTCAGTTCAAGAGTGTCTAGCTCCTGTTGCTTTGTTCTCAAAGATTGCCTTATGACATTGAACTTTGCAACAATTTTCGAATCCACCTTTCTCTCCCATGCTTCTGCATATTCATCTGCTCTTGCTCAAGCACCTTGATGCCCTCCTCCGTACACCTTTTCTTCTTCTTCAGTTCATCTAGCTCATTCAATAAAGCCTACATCTTTCAGGTTTTCTGGGCCTTCGCATTCTGCTCTCTCTCTCTTCTGCCAAATAAATACTGTAGGCTGTTTTGGCTCTGCCAGCTGCAAGCAGCATCTTCTTGGTGATGGTCATCTTGTCCAGGTCACCAACATGTACAACATGATCAGCCACAGCATGCAGGACAACCACCGTTTGCTCTTTCATGTTGTGCGTCATGATTTCCTTGTTGAACAAAAACCCTTTATCAAACATGGCTTGGCCATGAATAGGAGTATGAGCATCTGCACTACATTTCAGAGCTTCTTGTAGGAGCTCTTTGACAATGGCATGCCAAAGTGTCCAGTCAATCAGAAGTTGAAAATGCTTGAAAACTGTGCATTCAATTCACTGCAATGTTGTGATTAATCTTAAAAGTTGCACAACTCATAGTGCAACACCATCCACATCTGTGTTAGGCAATCTCTTGGCATCAAAGAGCAAAGTGAGACAGTGCTTCAACTGTGTTTTGACAGCTTCCTTACAGTCAGTCCTTCTAGATGAAGACTGTTGGCACCAGCCATTTCAGGTTCCTACCAAGGCCATACCTGATGGGGCTGTTGTCCAGTAGCTTTTGGACTACAGCCTGCATGAAGTCCCATGCTCATGTCTTGAAAGTGAGATCTTGCAGTGCACTTGCCTTCTTGTCTGCAAACCGGTTTTTTATCGCAATCCTGGCCATGTAACCAACATCAACCTTATTGAGGGAAATCAAAACACCATTTGTTCCATGACTTTCCATGACCTGAAATGAAATCCAATTACTTTCCAGGCCTGGAGAGTGAAAAATCAAATTCCATGACTTTCCAGGTTTTCCATGACCAATACACACCCTGCAAAATGAAACTCGAATGCTTGAATACCGTCAACCGGGGCTACTCGGGACAGTTTTGAGCATTTATTGTTAATAACTGTTAATAACTTCTTACGATGACACATTTCATTAACAATTTTAGGCTCATTCTATAGCTCTTTGCGAGGGCTATCAAATGGCATTGTCAAAAAATTCCATATGCTATTCGTAAGGTGCCAGAAGCAAAAAAATGAGTGTCACTTGGAAAAAATGGACACTTGGAATAAAACTTCATTTTAAAACACCTGAAGCATGCAAAGCGTACTCATCCATTACTAACAGTACTCTGAAGTCCTCCTATTTCATTGTAGATGATGTAGAGGCAGAATAAATGACATTTTCTGTGATTTTTACTTGTTTTTCCTTTATTGATATATTACCATATACATTAATTACCGTATTATTGATGCGATATTACAGTATTATTGATGCAATGTTACCGTATCCATGAACATGCCATTGAGCATTTACAACAACCTTGTCCACTGCAAGCTCCTTATCAGCAGCCTTATAGCATTTTTTCTGTATCTGTAAGCTTACAGGATGGCTTGTAATTTCACACCATTTTAATTGGGTTAATTGAATTTACTATAGAAAAAGATAGTGAAAACCATACCTAAAACAGAAAAGAATGTTTTAGTGACAACCATCATACGTTTTGGAGAAATAAATCATAGTTTAGGTCAATTACTTTTCATTCTATGATGCCTGGTGCACAATTCTATATATGACATTCTATGCACAATTTTGTGATGACCGATGATCCACTAATTTTTCGATAAGTGAATTTTTTTCGCTGAGCGAGGTAAATGTAATCAATATTCTTTGTTCTTAATCTATTTTTTTCTTAACTGGAGCCTTTGATAACTGAGGTTTCACTGTAAATGCATTTCTGAAAGTGTCCTGAATAGCCCCGGGGGGTGTCTCGAGTAGCCCCGCCGTGCAGAAATGGCTGCCATTTTTTGTGGGAATGAGATAGGCATATTCCGTCAATTACGTTTTCAAGCCGACACCTGGGTGCAACTTTTATTTAAGTAAAATTTTTTATACGGCGAATATTTTTTTGCTCCAGAACTTAGCAGAAGTAACTTTTCAAAATAGTGTTTTTCACCATTTTTTTCAGGAATTTTCCAAAGCTAGTAAATGTAGTGCTTTTTGACTTCCTTTATACTACATAGATAGGAAAAATGTTTACATTTACGCCACTATATTTAGTTTTACAATATTTCAATTAGTTTTGCTACTACAACAGTTTTACGCCATGTCAGAGGCCTGTCCCAAGTAGCCCCGGTTGACGGTATTTGCAAGACACTATATATGATAAATGAGAAAAAAACATTTGAGGTGATTGCAAATACAGCCAACACTGCCACATAGGTAGTGATTTTTGACACAATTTTGTCAATAAACAGATTGAGCACATTGAATCATTTAAGCAGCAGAAATTTCAAGTTTTTCAGCAGCTATTTCTATTTTTTGAGCAGCTGCCCATTCCTTGCTCACACCCATAGACCCAGCCAACTTCATTAAACATATACACACATACCTAACCCAGAATGCATTCTCAAATCAACAAATCAACAATATCATTGATGATTCACTGCCAGACATCAGCCATACAGAGGATATGTCAAACCATGCAATTCTGTCCATCACTATACTGGTACTCCTACAAACACTGCCTCACTCACAAACACCCCACAACACACAAACAATGCCTCACTCACAAACACCCCACAACACACAAATAATGCCTCATGGACAGCACTCACTTGGACCTATGCCCCTGTTACTCACACCATCAAGCATATTCTGCTTGAGTGCCTGCAGCTGGCAGCACCCAGGCTCTGGGCAGGCACTTTGTTCCACAGCTAAGTGCAGCAACTAAGAATGCATGGAAAGGAAGATTCTGGCATCATGATAGCAACATTGAGGGTCTCTTCCCAATAAAAAAGCTACAAGATTGGTGTACTTAAAAAAATTGCCAAGGCAGAAGGAATAAGCGTGCTTGCCTTAACCAAGTCACACCTAAGAGAGGATATCCAAGATGGAGAAATCAAGATGAAAGGCCTTCAACATTACTGAGCAGACTAAAAAGAAGAGAGGAAAAAGGGAGGTGTTATAGTCTACCTCAGAGACTCCCTCACGGCAAAAACAGTTCCCCTGCATTTCGGCTACAATGGATATGTGAAACATGTTATACTAGGTATATATCTCCCAACTACAACTGTGCATAGCCCTTGTCTACCAACCGCCTAACTGCCTACCCAAAAAATTAAATGGAACTTAGTGAGAATAGAAACAGGTGGCCATCCCCCATCCCCCATCATGATTCATCCCCAAATATTAAGGTTGTGGGAGATTTTAACCTATCACACATAAGATGGCCACACTTAGACTGTTTAGGATGGCACAGAGATCAGGCTAGAATCCAGGCAACACAACTACTTTGATTTACTAGGAGCACTTAATAAGTCAACAGGTTCTGGTGCCAACAAGAGAACAAAATATCCTGGATTTATTCTTGACCAGCAATGAATTACTGGTTGCTGATTTTTGTGTTGAGAAGACCGCATCATCAGATCATCAACTAGTGGTTGTTGAGACAACAATTGAGAGGGGAATCCAAAACAGACTTACACCTTGAGAGGGGCTAGCTGGGCTAAATTTTCATCATCAAAGAACAGACTGGGAGGCAATTTGGAAAGAAATTCTTGAAATTGACTGGCGATCTGAGTTCCTGGAGTTAAACACCAAAGCAATGTACCACAAGCTGTGCAATGTATTAGTGCAGGTATGCGCGCCTCACATGCCAGGAAAAATACCTCCAAACGGCACATAATTCTGTGGGACAGAAGGATCCTCACGAGAAAATGGGCAAGCTTGAACAACCAGATAATGGCAGCCTCCAGGAAAATGGAGAGGCGGAGGCTGGAACATCCAAAGGAGAAAATTGAGGAAACTGAACGACAGTTGCAGGACTCACTAAAGGCTGAGCAACAAGTTTCAGAAGTGCAAGCGGTGTCTGCCATTCAAGAGAATCCCAAATATTTCTACAAATATGCCCAGTCAAATGCCCAAATCAGAGCCTCGTTGGGGCCTCTGAAAACTAATGATGTCCCTTGTTGAAAACGACCAGGGCATGTGCAAACTTCTGGGAGCACAGTTTGAAAAAGCACTCAGTGAACCCCAATACTCAAGACAGGAGAATGAAATTTGAGTCATTCAAGAACTTCCAGAGAGGCAGGAGCTGATGAACATTGAGTTTGAAACACGCATCTAGAGAAGAGTATCTAATAATCTAAGAATTATCAACTTATTTGGCTCCCAGGCCAGATAGGGTCCCTGCAGAGTGCAGGGTTACTGAAAAAATGTGTCAGTTCACTAAAAGTTGCTTTGACCTTGCTCTATAAAACATCATTGAGAAAAGGAAACATTCTTAGTTACATAAAGTTAGGGCCAATAGCCACAATCAACAAAGCAGGTACATGAGACAAACTCAAAAATTACAGGCCAGTTACATTAACATGGCACCTAATCAAGGTATTTGAAAAGAAAAGGTCTGATCACTGCAAATTTCAGCCCATGTTGCCATATAACTCCTGAGTGAAGGTGAAATTGAAAAATTTTAACAAGCTAAACATCTCCATATCACTGTTAGTGTTAGGTCCTGCAGACTCTCCTGGCACTCCTGCTGAATATGTATTTCAATCCAACTTTCCAAGTTTTATCAAGCTGCAGCTGTGTTTATTAGTTAATTTAGTTTGGGAGCATAGTGGCAAAGCAGAGAGTTTTTTAGACTCTCCCTCAAGTTCATTTTTGAGTCCTATAAGTAGACCAGTAAAGTATCATGGATACCAGCATTATCTTACATAAGAAATTGGTTTAAGTCTTGAGTAAATGAGGAAATTAAAAATGAATTGATTGTAAAAAAATCTCTGGTTTGTCACTATGTTTGGGAGATTATTTCTTGGTCACTGAACTTGGGGATTGGCCATGAGACCGGCTGGCGGCAGCTAGACTGGCCGTAAATTTGTCCAAGCAGTCTTAAATTTCTAGTGCTGAAACAGTTAAAACTATAAAAATATACTGGTTTACTAAATGGAGTTACTGAGCTTTAGGTCTGGAGTTCCTACATGAAATGAATCATCTGACTGGTCACTACTCACTAGACTCAGTTGAGTCTATAGACATACCGTAGAGGCGTAGTGCAAGTGCATCAAGCATGAACTTACTCCTGCCGCCAACTGCTGTATTGATGAATTAATTTTATTTGGCTACATAGTTAAGAGAATATAATCCAATCTGATTTATATATAAGTAATGAATCACAAATAGTTTAGAAATTAAACGAGAAAAATGTATGGCACCCGCAGAGTTGGCAGCGAATCGTGGAACATCCCCTCACAGTCTCCAACGTCCAACAGCCTGAACAGGGAAACATGCTTCTTCATCGACTGCTAAGTACTATCATAGAATACGAACACTGCAAAGATACGCGTATAAAAAAAGCCTGGCATCATATTATCAAAGTTTAGTACATCTATTAAAAATGTTCTACCTTATTTTAACACGAAAACTTGAAAAATTGTGTAAAATTCCCCTGGTGCCATTTTAGGGTAACTTTAAGTCAACTTCGGGTCACACTACTGGCTTCGTTATACAAAACTCTTCAGATGAACATGTGAAGCAGTGCTGTGAAGTGTGGTGCTCGCGTGTTCGTGTTGGAAAACTGGTGTTCTATGGTGCCTGAGTGAAATATGAGAGCAAAAAATTAATGATGGATCCAGTAAACAATGACGAACTTGAGCTTACAGCTCAAGAGCTTCAAATAATATCAGAATTAGACAGGTAAGCTCTCGAGTATCAATTAAAATTGAAATCATATGCTTTCTTTACAGGCTTGCAGTTGGATTCATTTGGTTTTCATTTACCTATTGTTTTGCTTTAGTTAAATCTTTAAGAAATTGCTTAAATAGTTTTTATATTATTCAATTATAAAATTTGATTATGCTTAGACTGCAATTGGGAAACAATGCCTCTAAGTTACTGAGTAGCCTAGGTATATGGTTGAGAATTTGAGATATTGGCTTTTTATGCACAATTTCCAATCTTGAATAGTAATTAGTTTCCTTCAAGTTCAATTTTACATCCTATAAGACAATAAGTAGACCAGCAAAGTATCGTGGATACCACCATCATCATATCTTACTTAAGATATTGGTTTAATTGTTATGTAAATTAGAAATGAACTGATTCAAAAAAATCATTGGTTTACCACTATGTTTTTTTTTAATTTCAGGCAAAAACTATTGTGTTACGTAATTTTTACTAAATAAATTGAGGAAGAGCACAGCCTAAGGAGCTAAGTGGAAAATAGGAGTTATAGGACAGAAGCAATGGGTGGCTCACTCATGAATTGGCCAGAACTTAAATAAATCTTGCAAAACTTTCCCCTTTCCTCTTCCTATGTCCTTTTCCTAATTTCTTCTGTAAAAAGAAGGAAAATTTCCTATTTTGCAAGCAATTTTTGTAAATCACCAATGAAAAAATTCTTTTTATCTGCAATTTCAAGGAACTTCTGTCTGAGTGTCTGATATTCCAAATAGGGACCATAGGAACCAAGAAGTTAGGACTGTTAGTCTGTTAGGTTATTGCATAAAACCAAATTGGAATATCTGGGAGAAGATTCCTAAAATTATAGGGAGAGTGATAGTTTTGCAGCTGAGGTACCTAATTCTCAAAAATTACATCCCCAGGATGGGTGAAAATTTCCAGATTCAAGGGCCTTCTGGTCTGATTAAGGTGTAGCTTTTGCAGAATTTTTCTCTTTTGACACATGTCAATAGATGCTTGTGCTAAACATGATGATGATGCCAAATTCATTGCCCTAAAAATGTCTAGATACTATCCTGGCAGATGGCGGCTACCAATTTTTCTTCTCCAGTTCTCCATAGAGTGGTGTAGATAGTGATTTAGAAACAGGATAACCCAGAGATGCCATACAATAGCCCTCACAAAGACCTTTGAAATGAGATATATATGTATATATTAAATTTATGTGATCACATCCTGAGTTCCTGACAAATATCTAAGCCAGCTGAGGTAGAATGCCCTGTTTACTTTTTAGTACCAGAAAGTGTTCCAACCAATTGCTCATTATTGTTTAGCTGTCAAAATGCAAGGAGACAACTAATGTATTTTCTAGATTGAGAAAATGCCTCTTTTCTTTCAAAATCTGGTATTAATTTTTTTTTTGAGACAAATGTAATAATTCAAGCGATAATAACTTTTTTATTCAGATTTAATTTGAGTTATAATTTGCTGGTATTGCATAAAAAAATACAACAAAAATGTACCTACATTTTATGTTCAAATGTTAACCTGTCAAAATTTCAAACAAGACCTTGAAAATGAGTTGAAAAATGAGAACTTGAAACTATTATAATTTCATAAAAAATGATATTTCAAAGGCATGAAAGCAGGCTTGGAAAACGGATATTTTCAACACCTGTCTTCATTTGAGTTTCAACCCTTCAATTGGGATACATATTTCTGATAGATGGGATTAAATGAATTATATAAAAAATTCTATTGCCTTGATAACTGTACTATGTAGTATAAGTAAAAACTTTGTGGGAAAAAATACTAGTCAATATTTTTTCTATTATTGTTAATTAACTAAAATATTCTATTAGTAGAAAGCCTTTTCTATTACTCATGCACAAGTTAAGGCATTTTTACCTGGTGGATTTTCTTGTGTAATTGAGTTTCAAATGAAGAAAATTTATTAGTGGGACTTGATATATTTCTTCACATTTTTGTCCACAGCCGGCAATTTGGCTTCATCAAGTTGAATGAGCCACAGCATGCCAAGAAGAAGAGCATTGTGCTGCGTGCCATCAAGTGCCTGGAGCGCATCATCCTTGTGGCCAACAATTCCAAGACAAATGAATCTATTTATGAAAGCTTAGACAGCTTCACTGAGGCTGCTCCTAATACTCAGTCAGGAAGCAATACCAATAACAACTATGGAAATGGGGGCTCTGATAATCTTGGTCTTGATTCTATACTTGGAGACACCAACTCTTTGCTGGCCAATGTTAAAGTGGAGCCTCAGAATTGTGATGATATGTCTGGGGGACTTGCCTCCTCGGCAACCTCACTTGACTCCCTCATGTGTTCCAACTCAATAGACTCCTTGCCCTCTCTCAATAATGCCATGAACAACAACAACAATATTCCTGGAAACAATAACAACACATCTATTGCATCACTTCTATCCAACACACCAATTTTAAATAATAACACTAGCAGTAACAATAACAATAATTCAATCACAAAATTGAATTCTTTATCACCTCCACCGAGCAATGAGGAAGTGCCATCAGTGGACCCAGAGACCTACTGTAAACTGGGGCACTTTCATCTCCTGCTAGAAGACTTCCCAAAAGGTCAGTGCAATTTGATTGCCCATCCATTGATATCAATTTAAGAATTGTCATTGTAGTTGATTTTTCAATATGTCTTCCCAGTTTCTAAACAAGTGCTGTCTTGTGTTCCGTGTCAATGATAATCTTCTACTTGAAGTGATAGTTAGCAAGTTGATGTTCTACATCTTTACTTAAAAGGATGCAGAGATAAGTTCTTCGTCCTGGGTCCTTTTACACTATTGCATAATTTGTAGAAACATTGAGTGCATTTTTCTTGACCTGAAGCCTCTATTTTATCATGTATTTTTTTGTGTGGAAGCAGACAAATATTTTTACCTTTCTATGTTACAGTTTCTTCTTTCATTAATTGATATGTGCATAGAAGCCTAATGGTTTTGACAGCACGATTTTTCATATCATCAATGGATAATGCATTCAGATAAACCTCAAGATTTTAAGTGACAATTTCGGGTAAATCCTCGCTAGTAAATTCCTGCAATGAATTGTTGGGCGTGGTATGTTGTCTTCGAAAGTCGGCCCGCGCGCAACTGCACAATTTTAGATCTTAATACGAATTGACGTCCGTCCGAAAAACATGATGCGAGTACGCATCGTATCGTTGATACCGCCACACGACACGAGTCGGGGGACACCATGACGCAATTACGCATCGTATCGTTGATACCGCCACACGACACGAGTTAGGGACACGATAACGCAATTACACACCGTATCATAGATGCCGCCTCACGAAATAAGTCGGGAGCCCATGACGCAAAAACAAATCATTTCTTGTAGCGTAACTTAGTGATACGTTAAACGTAACTATTTATTTAATCACTTACAAATTCGCTTCTGTAATTGTATGATTTTGAAGCTGCGAGTAACGATAAGTCATCATAATCTTATTATTTAACGTAATTGTAAATATCCTAAATAAGTTTGGCATGAGCAGAAAGTGTTGAACTTGATACATGATGCTCGGATCATGAGTCACACTGCAGGCAGGACGCGCGCATGTGCACAAATTATGTGGGTCACAACCAACTTACTCCATTGACGTGAACGCTGCAACTCTCTTGCTGACCTTGCACGACACATTCAGTCCTCTGTTCAGGTCCTCGTTATATCTTGAGCCTATCAGTCTTAAGTTACTGCTGCCCTGGATGTTGCCTTCTTTGCCCTTCGCTTATAGTGTTGGTAATTAACGAAGCTATTAATTAACCTTCGTTTGTTTATATGATACAGCAGCTCTGGACACAGCAGTTTCCGCTCGTGCTTCACTTTCAGCCAATTGAAGCATCGATAAACGGATCTCTATTTGTTTTCATGTTGTGGCCGCCCTGTATGTTATGTATTTCAAACCATGCATTGTAATCAGTAAGTTACGAAGTAATTAAGTGAAACTTTAGTGGCGTTTATGGTGTGGTTGTGCTCGATTTTTTTTCGCCTTGGGCTCTTAACTACAGGGAAAGTACGAAGCAATGAATTAATCATTTTATTTAATGACATGGCTGCTCTGGATACTGCGCATCTCTACCTGATTTTTAATTCAAGGCAATTCACGATGCGAAATAGTGGTTAATCTCTGCTATGAAATTATGCCGAATATCGGTGACGTGAATTATTTTCTTTATTACATTCATTGAAAACTTTCTCATAATTTTATATGAAATAGGATGTTAGTTGAAGTCTTTCACTGAACTGATGAAATTCAACACGTGCCTCAGGTACGTGTTTCCTTTACATTTGACTAGGGATAAACCCTATAGGAAGTTATCATCAAGGTCAGCTCTTCTCTCTCTGTACATCAACTCAGCGCCTTCTGTTGCTTGTGCTCCCTTCACGCTAATAAATTTTGCTGCTCTCTTTGGAATTGAGTAATTCATCGTTCCAATTTTTGGAGTTTGAGCAAAATTCAGTATATGTGACATTTACCTTCATTTGCATATCATACGCATTGCGCCTGCAACGGTTGTTTTTTGCCGTTTCTTTTTGTGTTAAGATTGGAACATTTTGTGAATTTAGGCGGAGCTTACGCATGTTCCATTGTTCGTTCATTGTGAATATTTGTCCGAGGTAATTATATAACGAAAGAATGAAAATGCATATTAGTGTGGGAGTGTCTACACAAAGCTGGTCTGTTGCGACCAGCTGATTCTCTTGATCACTTTCGCCTGTATGCTTGTTAGCTTCGGAACAGATTTGTGAACTTATTACTTGATTGTTGGTTTCCGATGTATGCATGTTATTATAAATATAAAATATTTTCATATAATTACCTCTACAACTTTATCGACGGGCAAATACTTACGGAAGATTAATGAATAAATAAATTTGAAAAGCTACACGCTGAAACCCGACGACGTTCCCGATTTAAAACCAAGTTCACGTGACGCAATTCGAAATGTCTCGGCTAATCGGTGGAATATAGGATAAAAAAAGAAGCAGTATGATGCTGGTGTCGGTGTGTGGCCGCACGCACCAGGCGCCCTACATACAAGTGCACCTCAAGGCCGCCCTCGCCAGGTCTGCTCCCCTCACTTCCTCGTCCTGCTGCTGCTGCTGCGTCTCTCGTACCAGCCTGCCGTCCCTGTACTAATGTCACCAGCCTGCCGTCCCTGCACTAATGTCACCAGCCTGCCGTCCCTGCACTAATGTCACCAGCCTGCCGTCCCTGCACTAATGTCACCAGCCTGCCGTCCCTGCACTAATGTCACCAGCCTGCCGTCCCTGCACTAATGTCACCAGCCTGCCGTCCCTGCACTAATGTCACCAGCCTGCCGTCCCTGCACTAATGTCACCAGCCTGCCGTCCCTGCACTAATGTCACCAGCCTGCCGTCCCTGCACTAATGTCACCAGCCTGCCGTCCCTGCACTAATGTCACCAGCCTGCCGTCCCTGCACTAATGTCACCAGCCTGCCGTCCCTGCACTAATGTCACC